CACGGCCCTTTGAAGCCACCAGTGAACCTATCGCATTGTACCCCCCGATGAGCTGTACAGCGAACTCGCCATTGGGTAGCGTTTTGTGACCCAATAAAAGTGCAGTGGGATTCCGCTCACTGGATCTGGGTTTTGTGATTTGGCTGTACAGTCGCGGGTACGGTGATTTGCACTTTCTTTGTGTGCATAGTAAAGATGCGGTTGTTTCAGCACTGAGTGGGTATTGTTGGGGTATTGCATTTTGATAACCATTTGAATAGAACCGTAGTTAGCTTTCGGTTTGGTTTGGCCTGGGAGGTTTACGAGTTGCTCAATACCCAAGCAAATTTTTCGCTCACAATTATCTTTGTCCTACTAGGTGACAGTGTTACCAGGTCGTCCATTGAGTGGGCTCGTTAGTTATACTCTTGCTAGGTGGTAATTACCTCATTATAGAACGACCTTCGTTGCATTAGTAAGTGACAACTGCGCCACCCTCCCGGTAGTGAGGAAACTTGTGCTATAAACATTAGGCTATCCAAACCGTGTTCGATCTTCGCTTGAGCAGTAAAGATGATTCGCTGAAGGTCATTTCTTTCCCTCTCACGCGGTCGCGAGCAGTCGTGCAGTGTCCGTGTTAGTCTCACTAGAGAGAGGAAGAACCGTTGGTCGACTAAGTTATTCGCGGAGCTTGTCGATCCGAAATCGAGCAGTCACATATCCGCGCTGGACACATTCCACAAGATCCGAATGGTTGTTCCGACTAAGGGCACTGTATGGAAGCGGGGGTATGGACGCAGCTACAAAGGCAGTTCTGTTGTTTTCTGTGAAATCAGGCGTGCGTATGACGTTATTGTTTCTGAGTTGTTGATAGACAAGGTCGACGTCAATGCACATGTTTATCGAGTTCCTTGTAGGGAAGCAGACTTCAAAAACTCTCTTCCTTTCCTTATTCCTTCTTGAATCAGAAGCACTGTTTCGCTACAAACCGTCCATGATCCATCCACAAGCGTGTGCCATTGCAAGACACTTGGAAGACGCGTGATACGAGTGATTATCACCGATGCGCACAATCGCATCGATAAATACGAGGATACGAGGATATGTTTCTGAATAAATAAGTCTTGTTTTAACAACAAAATAAACATTAGATTTTCTTGAAGTACTCTCCATTAGCGTTCATGCGCAGTTCCATGCGCTCCACCAATTTGGAGAAGCAGCTAGAGTATGTCGAAGTAGATAACCTTTCAAACAGCTCAATATAGGGCTTTATTGCAGATTTCGGTGACTCGTAGCGGATCCCACAAATCAGGTGCATGACATTTGGGAAGACAAAAAGGTCACACGGGGACAGGTCTGGACTGTAGGGTGTGACCAGCCCCTGGATGCGTTCTCTAGCCAGAAAACCTACGACGATATGGGGCCGGTGCGCAGGTGCGTTGTCATGGTGTAGCAAGGTCCCTCGTGCTCGAGTCTTTGAACAACGTCTGGCTACAGCTTCCAGCACTTGTGGCTGACAGTGAATGGCATACCAGTCTCCGGTGACCGTCCGTTGCAGTACGAACGGTACAATAGCCATATGACAGGCCTTGACCACGAACACAGCCACCGTCTGCTTGGCCCCATTGCGCTCAGGCCGGAATTTCTGAGGCGGAGCCTCACCAACGGCTGTCCACTGAGCTGATTGTTGTGTGGTCTCGAGATCGAAACTGTACACCAAGGTCTCATCACTACTGACGATCTCCCAAACAGCATCGGAACGTCCATCATCAAACATGGCATACATGGTGCGGCACCAATACGCCCGAGCACTTTTCTGATCCTCACTAAGATGATCAGGCGCGCAGCGTGTAAAAAGTTATCTGAAGCCTAGGTTCTCATGTAGGATGGTGGGGTTGATCTCGATGAGATCCTGATAATTTTCTACAGCTGTATCACAGTCACCCGTGAGTCCTCCTCCAGTATCGCTCGCACAACAGCGTCAATTGTTTCCAAAGTTCTGGTTACAAAAACCTGATTCTGATGATCTCAGCTGTGGATAACAAGCGTTTCTTAACTCCTACGGAGTATGGTTTCGGGATGGTATAAATGACCACTGTATCAGTCATTTGCCTGAGCCTGGTGTCACGCTTCAACCAAATATTCAAGCAACGAATTATGTCCTTACGATGCCTTTTCGTAGCGACGCAGAGCAGTTTTCAGCGATCCTTTCAGATAAACGGCCTATTATGACTGACTAAAACATTGGTCAATGACAGGCCATACTAATCCAACCGGTTTTACAGTTGGTCCTAGAATTCGTCCCTTTTTACTCTGTTACTCGGGGACCAAGGGTCACGCCTTCACGTGAGAGGAGAACGCACTATATTGCCAACTGTCCAATAGTAGATGTTGGTCCATCTCAAAATGTCTCTTACCCGGTCACTTGGGTGTGAACGACCGGAGTGTTGGTCGTATGCATACATCTGAGTCTAGGTCTACTTGCAAGTGGCGTCCATCGTGAAAATGCTGGATGGGCGCGGATGGTTGAGTTGAAGTCAACCACGGCACGCCACAGAGCAAGTGTACCGATCGATACATACCTTGTTTCGGGCTGGTTGGAATGAATGCAGGCATGCATAATAAAGACAGCAGTGCATCATTACCGAGCTACTGCGGTAGAATTGTGGTGGCGCTTGGACACGCCTAACTGGTTTGAGCAAGGAGTGCTTACTAGATGCGTAGTGTTATCCCAGCTAATGACAAAGGGGTTATTGGCAACGCTCTTGTAGTCTGAAAGTTAGCTTCCAGCTATCCATCTTAGCAAAATAGACATTCTTTACAATTAGGCCTTGCAAATATTAAGTGTCGCGTTTTGTGAAAGGAGTCTTGAAAAGCTATGCCGCCTAAAGACTACTGGCTGCCGCATAGCCTATTCTTCCGTCACAGGCTTGAGCGTTCATTCCAACATATTCACTAATGAGGCAATATTCCATTAGCATGGCACTGAGCAGCTGCAGTGCTAGGCCATATGTAATCCTCGCGGATACTGAGATTTACGTATTCCACAAAACGCGAAGTTCATTGTTTTGAAAAACTGTTTAACAGATCGTGGGACCACAGCACACGCATGTGGGTTCTTACGCATACTGTCCACCACAAGCCAGTTATCCCTGCGGTAACTTTGCTGACACATATTGCTGCAAACTCCGAGTACCAAATTCCAAAGGATCGATAAGCCGCGCTTTCACGGTCTGTATTATTGAAAAATCGTCGGACCATTTTTCTTTTCCCTTTATGTGATCGGTATGTTATTATTTAGAAGCACTCATCCTACGCCAACAAACATGATAAAAATACAAAACCGCGTAGCCTATTCTCACATCACCATCTCGTTCACATCTTTCCCGTATTCCTTAGGCATAACCATGAAAAAAACTATTGGTATTATTAACTAAGTTGCATAGAAGTGGTCAGTCTAAACGCTGTCGCCTCAGCTTTGCCCGTTGAATGCATTCTTGCCCGACGCACCTTTGGCACCATTTACCCGTGCACCACTTTAGTCCAGAAATCAGTGATAACGGTGACTAAGTACATTAACATAAACAGCATAAAACGATGATATGTCCGTCAACGAAGAAGATGCTCAACTTGCCCGCCGGCGTTCTGCTCGCAGTGCGGAAATCGCTTAAGGCAACAAGCTGTAACTTTTCGCAAAGTTCCCCTTTTAATGGCGCCACATTTGTTGGCAATACTGTCTTACAGTTGTTCCAGTGAAATAGGCGTTCTCTTGTACACTCTTCTTTTCAAATAACCCCATAGGAAGAAATGTGCGGGACTCGCTCCGATATCAGTAGATGGTGTGTTCCTTAAATCCAGCAGCATTATGTAGGGATCTTCCTGAGTCTCCTTCGCCTTTGGAAGCACTTTCTTCGCCTCCTTCGCTGCGGACTCAACTTTACCCTTTGAGTGGCTATGGTATGGGCTGGTTAACCGGTTACGAAAATCCCACTTCTTGCTGAATGCACGAAACTCTGCACTATTGAATTGCGGCCCGTTGTCAGAACTCACCACCTCGCGTATTCCATGTCGAGCGAATTAGCACCGCAACTTGTTCACCACGGCCTGCGTACTAGTCGTCGTAAGAGCATTGATCTCGAAGTAGTCACTAAAATAATCTACCACAATCAAGTAGTTTCTTCTGTCGTGAGCAAAAATGTCCAGTGCAATCATCTGCCAGGGTCTGTCAGGAACGTCACGAAGCATCATCGGTTCCTTTGGTTGGCGTACGTCATGTGTCCTGCATGCCACACAATTAGAGTCGTAGTCGCATATTTGGCTAGTCATTCCGGGCCAGAACAACAGCTCTCTAGCTCTTGCCACGCAGTTGTTGGTTCCTAAATGTGCACAATGTATCAGCTCCAGCATCGAACGTTGCAGTGCCTTTGGAACTACTACCCTGTTATCTTTGAATATTAATCCATCCTGCCCATCCAGCATTTTCACGATGGACGCCACTGGCAAGTAGACCTAGACTCAGATGTATGCATACGGCCAATACTCCGGTCGTTCACACCCAAGTGACCAGGTGAGAGACATTTTGAGATGGATCAACATCTATTATTGGACAGTTGGCAATATAGTGCGCCCTCCTCTCACCCGAAGACGTGACCCTTGGTCCCCGAGTAACAGAGTAAAAAGGGATGACTTCTGGGATTAACTGTAGATTTCGTGGTTTCTTCCAATTTAGTCCTGGCTTTCATAAGCCAATCGGTTTTCTAATTTGCTCTATAATTGTAAACGCCTGAAGAAAGTTATCGAAAAGAATATTCTTTGCGTAATTGCGAGCATCTTATGTTGTGGCTAAACACGCCCCATCAGAATCCACCAATTGTTTTGTTTATGGACGGCTGTTCAGAGATTGGGTCTCCAAATTACTTGTCTCCACGACTTATCTTAAACTATCCTTGACCCACCTATGTTGCTACATCTACCACCAAGTGTTCAATGCCAAAAGGAACACAGACAGAACAAGTGCGGTGGAAACCGTTAAAAAACCTCATTTGTTATTGGGAAACAGTAAAATTTTCATTCACTGTTAGAGTAATTGAATAGTTTGCGTATTGCATTCACATTCACCCCAATTTTCGAAATTGTCTGTCCGTATGGTGCCGTATGATGAGATTTGGTTTCTGAGAGAAGATCAAAGCCGAATGACGAACCCAGCGGTGAAGTAACCACGATACTGTCCGGCTTACCTTGACTTGGCTGGGTGGGAGGAAATCCATACAGTCGGCCACAAAGATTTGGCAAGAATGATAAGTGGACTGATGGGATGGTCTAACAGGACGCACAAGTACATAAACACACGATTAAATGTTCCATATTGAGATCCAAATGCCAATCTGAATGTACCGTATGCCGTAATAAGAGGTGCATGCTGAACAATAAGACTGAACTAGCGATCATTCAGATGCCAATCAGTTTCTTTAATCAGTACATGGGTATCAGGCAGGCCTCATTCTCACGGAAGGACAGGAAGATGGATACCCAGTGGGACAATACAAAGTACTTTTTACACTCTGACAATATTGAGATATAAATGGATGGATGATAACTACTGAGACGGAAACATTTCATCCTGTATCGAGATTTCGTCAAAAACAACAGTCGATAAGAAGGAAACGGCTGTTGATGAGACCGGGGAGAGCCAATAGCTCACACTTAGAGCGCTCGGTGGGAGTGGTAGTGACAATAGTTGAAAGAGGCTCTGTTTGACAAAGTGAAGTGAGGTGTGAGGGAGGTCAGCTCGTGAACGCGGTCACAGAGTGTCTGAAGCGCAATTTTGTGGGACAGTTGAAGTGGACGACAGGGTGAAGCAAGTATTATTAATGATGGGAATCTGTGCATGTGTGGGTGTGGGTTTCGGAATCGGAGACGGCGCATAGTTTAGAGGAGAGGATGAGGAATATAAACGGATGATCTGAAGGGCGAGTCAAGGTGCCTTGTCGTTTCGCATAACCCTGGAATCGCAAGTTTCATCGTAGTCCACGCTACCAGTGTAGTCGTAATCAACATGGTTGCGCGAATACCGCCGCCGCGAGAAGAAATCCCTCATTCGGCGAACCAACTTTGTCAATGCGAATGGGCCTTTGCCAAGATTCTCCAAGTCATCCGCTCCGGTCATGCCAATTTCTTTCCGATGCTCCCATCGGGCCACCGCGCCCAACGGGAAGCATATGACACCGGAAACAAAAAGAGCCAGCCCACCAAAGATGAAAGTGTAGTCAAAGGTGCGAAACGTATCATAGAGAGAACCTGCAATGGAAAGCGGGAGAGAAAGGAGCAATGTGAAACTGAGCGACGCAGGATTCCCGCATCAAAGTGAGAGTTGAGCAGATTAGTAACAGCATAGTGGCCCAAATGTGAAGCTCCAGGCAGTCGGAGGCTCAGAACTCACGTGGTCCGTGGATTATGTGTCAGCATGTGAATAAGTTAGCTGTTGAAGTGCTGGGGTACAATTCATGCAGACTACTCGGTACAGTCCATGAGTAGGATGTCTGAGCAGGCGTGAAACTTTGGACCTCTCCACACCGGGTTCCCTTGTCCGGATCCCATGTGGAAACCCTACATGTGCGGAGGACTGCTTATTATGGGGACGACAAGCATGCACAGGGTACACTGGACTTAATGACGCACCTAGTCTGCATGCTGCTAAGTATCGCCACAACTGTCTTCATCAAGCCAACATAAATCAAGTAGGCTTTAGGTAGCCGGGGTGACCTCATATTCAGCATATGACAATCAATGTGAATGGGTAAATACACGAAATGGATGTAGAAAAACCAATGAAGCGTCCGACGGAGAATATGCGCACGTATCACCCAAGCAAACAACCGCGCACCACATGATTGACATTTATTGGATCTACAAGTAATGCTGACAAGCACGGTAGAAGTGCGATAAGATGCAGTACGAGGAAACACGACTCCTCCTGGAAGTTGTGTTATGAGCGCTCGTCCCCAGCCTTCCTCATTAGCTGCTTCCGCGTTTCCTCCTACTACACCTCCATCTACGGTCTCGGGGTGTCCCCATGCAATGTTAGACCGTTTAAGTGGTCAATCCGATTTACTCGTTTCCAACATACTACTTGCTACGGCACAGTAGTAGTTGCTCCAAGCGCGCCACAACCGAATGAGCGGTTAACATACCAAAATGGAATCGGTTATCAGGTCGACAATTTGGCAGTCATCAAATACCTAGGGTCGAACGCAGTCCGCAGTAAGTGAGTGCAAGTCCCCTCGTGGAGAAATCAATATGCTTCCTCAAAGAGATTGGAGGTGCTGTGGGTTCACTGTCATCGTTCCAAGTTACGACAACTGATCACAAAAGTGGTACCGTATCTTTAGTCAATAACCAAGAGAAGACACTGTGTGATGGATGGATAGTAGGCTGTAAACACTGTCTCAACTACGGACCGAATTGACTAAAAGTAGATGACATCTCAGTGCGTATCAAGATGGGTGAAAAATAATGTAGGTTATCCCCCGATTCACTTCAATCCAGTGAGGACCGAATACTAGCCATGAATTGAGGTGCAGCGAAGCAAGTTAGTTGGACTTAGGTCGTTAAAACAACAGCAAGCTCAATAAGAAACTACAAGTTAAGAGGAGTGTATAATATATGAAATCGTCAGGTGAAATAGTAGGGTCAAGTGGGAGTAAGCGAAAGAGTACGGAGAACGTCTCACTGACTGCCTGCCTCACTATGCCATATCTGATAGAGTGATCCCAAGGACCTACTATCTGGAAACACGACAAGCGCCCCCAACCCAACTCAATGTTCCTGTGGACTTCATCACACCCGTTTGCCGTATCAGGCATGGGTCCTCACATAGGATTTTATCTCACTATGCATGGTATTGGAGTGCAACCAAACACACCGAGACGGCCGGATCGCAGGTGTGACAGGTGGCTGGATGCCTTTTACCAAACTCCAAATGATGAAACTCCGTAGTACTACCCATTCCCTGATCCGGTCGAACATGGACAATTCTCCGCAAGCATCGGTAGTCACAAGCGGTCAGCCTATTTAAACCCTCAGCGTGATGTAACAACGTCTTTGCGTCCACAATGTAACATCGGATGCGCCGTAGCGATTTGGTTTCTTTACTTAGCCGGCAGGCTTATATCCTGCCGTTTCAACAAGTACATAATAGTATAGGTAGAAATTCGTTACATCTAGACGCACTCAGACAGCCGTCACACGCCCGGAAAAGCACTGTACTCGCATTTCATCCTTTCGGGAATCGTCAGCAGTGCGCATTCCATCGGACCCTGGTAGGGCTCGAACCCGCAACTCGACTGTTGCCAGTCCGTGGTTGAGACCACTGAGCTACGGGGACGGCAGCAACTATCGTAAATAAGTTACTAGATGTGATATAGCGCCGCTCACTATCCACTGACTTACACGTTACTGTCGTGCAGAGGACAGTCGAGTTGCGGGGGCGAGCCCTACCAGGGTCCGATGGAATGCGCACTACTGACGATTCCCGAAAGGATGGAACGCGCGTATAGTGCTTTTCCGGGCGTGTGGCGGCTGTCAGAGTGAGTCTAGATATGACGAATTTCTACCTATTCCATTCAACTCCCCCTACTACTCTTCTGTACTAAGTACATAATGCTTTGAAACTCGAGTCTTGGTAAAATATGTGGAAACCGCTTTGGTAAAGTAACGATCCAACTGGTTAGAGTGAAATACAAGTAAGACGAAATTTTCGGGACCTCAGAAATTAGTTCGTTGCAGCAAAACTTCGGTATACTAAAACGAGTCAGTACACGAAGTTATAGTATACAGTAATCGCAAAGGCCTTTAGAAAATGCGCAATTGTGAATATTACATCATACTGGCGTTCGTAATAGTAACATTTCACTGTATACTCCAAATGATGGGATATGACCTACCACCCAACAGTCTAGTCGACGCGTCTGAAAATAGTCCAACTTTCCGACTTTGTCGAACAGTGTTTCACTCATGGACACTGCATGCGCCTGATGAGTGGGAATAGAGCCAGGTTGTTCCCGGTAATACTGGTCTTTCCTATGTCACGGGGTCTCGTTACTCATCGATCAACTCCCAATCAGACAGCAGATTTATAATCATAGATAGTTCGAATTTCTAGTACTTCGTCACGACAGAGCACAGTGAGATAAAGCAAAGAGTGGAATTGTATCTGCAATGTGTGCCTGTCAACCCGCAAGTAACCACCATCCTGATGACATCAGGTGTGTCAGAGTTAAGCACACTCACTATGTGAGGTATCAGCTCTGGGAGTAGTAGTCACCGCAACAGCGATTGGAAATGCGCCGCAGTATGGCAGCTTGGGGTAGGAATTCCGTGAAGAGAAGCAGTAACCCGAATGGTTCTATGGTATGCCACCAGTGGAAACCGAATACGAGTGTAGGGACAAATGCTATATTCCACCCATCACGCAACTGAACCTGACGACGTGGAGTGGCAATTGGCGCTGTGTGTCACTTAAGTGGTGGAAAACAACCGATCTCGGTAGATCCAGTCAAGATGCTTTGAGCGATTATAGCGAGCGTGAAAAGTGGAAAAATACAGACGGAGAAAACATAGATGGACAAATGGACAACAACCCAGTGGAAGAAAGTGAAGCGAAAGGTTTTCATCGACGGATAGGGAGGAAAGCAGAGATAAAATAAGAGTCCACGGCCGTGACATATCGGACCACTGGTGTTGTGGACCATCCAGAGGCTCCACCATCCTGCGCACGGACCAGTCCGACTATGATTAAACCAATTTCTTCGCGTCGCTACGTTACGTTGTGGGAGTCCAAGTGATGCGGAAAGTAGTTCGTTGAGACAGCGAACACACACACACACACGATACAACATCAGCATCATCACCAGGTGGCGGAGATTGGTAAAAGCATCTCCAGCTTTTGCTATACGGTTCGTAATCTCATTTTCGATCCCACGGGCACTAATAGAGCTACTCAGGTACTTGAATTTCTGAACGACTTCTAGTTGATCATCACCAAGGGTCAACGCAGGATTGGGTCCATGCCAAGCTTGGAGAAGAACTTTGCATTCCGATGGAGCAAAGCATAGCCCGAAACGATTGACGGCCAGTTCTAATCGGTCCAGTGCTGCTTGGTACGTTTTGGCATTGTCACATACGAGAACAATATCGTCCGCATACTCCAAGTCAAGAAGTCGCTCACCAGGAAGTAGCTCCACATCTTCTAGGTCGTGTCCAGCGGACGCTGCTTCCATGACTTCGTTAAAAGCGAAGTTAGATAGGAAAGGTGATAGCGAGCAATCTTGCCTCATCTCACTGGAAATATTGTAGGGCGGCGACAACTTGCCATGAACCCTCAGTTTGCCCAAACTCTGCGCGTACAGCGCTCTGATAATGTTTATGTCATTGGCGGTCACACCTTTCCTGAGCAGACAGTCCCAAAAGGCACATCGATCCACCGAATCGGACACCTTTGATATCGAGGAACATGACAACGGTGGGTCGCCAATAAACATGGCGGTGCTCCAACAACTGATTCAAAGTGAAGATGTGATCGACGCAGCCCCGATCTCGACGAAAGCCGGCTTGCTCTTCGCGGATCTGGCCTTCACGAGCGCCAGTCAGTCTGTGGAGAACGACAGAGGCAAGCAATTTAGAGGAAATTGAGGTCGGACTGATCTCTCTATGATTGCCGCATTCCGAACGGGAGCATCCCTTGAAAATTGGGACTATGACGGAGCCGCTCCAGTCGGTCGGGACAGTTTCCTGCTCCCAAAGTTCCACAAGCAACTCGTGTAAATTGTCTACAAAAGCAGATCCACGAATTTGAAGTGGGCTGGGGGAATTCTATCTGCCCCTGCAGCCTTATGCAATTTCAACGATCTGATCTCACGTTCGACTTCGGAGCGTGAGGGCGGATCTAAGGAGACTGCTCAGGGAGAAGTGCGTCAATGCCCGAAAAGGAAAACGATAACCCAGGTTGGTTAGATTGCCTAGCAAAGTGTTCGGCCAAACTCTCCGAGCGTTCTTAAAGGCTGTGGAGCGGCTGCCCACTCTCGTCGCGTATGGTCTCGATAACACCAGGTCTCCTGCTGCCAGTTTCTCGTATCAGACGGAATAACTTACAATGATTATCAACGGCAGTGTCTGTTTCCATCTCCGAGACACGATGAGACCACCAGGTTTCCCGGTCTTTCTTCAGGCTAGCACGCAGTTTTACCCGGAGAATTTTGTGAGTCTCATTGTGTTCACTTCCAACCGAAATACGTCGGCGA